CAATATACCCCACTGCCATAGGCCACGCTATTGCCATCCCCCTCAAAAAAAAAAAAAAAAAAAAGGATGGAAGCCTCTGGCCCATTCTTGATTTTGAAGGCCTGAATTCTTTTATTACTCTACGTAGATTCCGTATGGATTTGTTGGACTCTGTTATTCACATGTTACGTCCAGAGAGTTGGTTGGATGCTTGTTTTCATGATGGTATCGTCATGAAATGTTTTCTCAGGCTTTCAGCAGGGGGAATAACTGGCTCCTGGCTGCTAAGTAGCTGCTGCTAAGTCACAAGCTGGCAGACACATGTCCTTGACAGCTCAGTGGTCTCTCCAATTACAGTACTTCTTCGGCAGCTTATGGGGCCTCCCTTCAAACCCTTGGCATCAGCATTGCTCTACTTGCTAGCCCTCAAGACTGCCTTTCTCCTGGCAATATCCTTAGCTTGCAGGGCTGGAGGACTCGCTACACTAAGAGCAGATCCTCTTTTCTGTAACGTAATCTTATGGCCAAACCTTACCTTCTTCCCTAAGGTATTTTCTGCCTTCCATTTGAACCAGCCAGCTGTCCTTCCTGTCTTCTATCCCACTCCATCTTCTCCATGTGAGACAGTGCTGCACGGTCTAGATGGGAAGCGTGCTCTGTCATATGATGTGCATCGCACAACCACTTTCCATGCCTCACAGCATCTCCTTGTCACCTTTGCTGGCTCCTCCTTCGGAGCACCGGCTTCCTCTCGGACCATCTCTAGATGAATAGTCCAGGCCATCTGTCTCGCCTATAACTTGGCAAAGGCTCCTCTTCCAAATTCACTGAGAGCTCACTCTACTAGAGCTGTAGCATCCTCCACAGCTTTTATCTGTGTACTGTACATCTTGGATGTCTGCCACGCTGCCACGTGTGCCACTCCGTCATCTCACACTACCGCCTGGATGTCCGGCCCAAGGCTCAGGCTGCGGTAGGTCGAGCTATCCTGGCTTCTGCACTTTCATGACGTCCCTCCTCCTGGTTAGTCAGCTTGCCAGTCACCCATTAGTGTGTATTCACAGAGACCACAAAGGAGAAAAGAGGTCTTTTGAGTGGTCCTCTGTGATTTCACACATCCCACCCTCCACCCTGCTGTCCATCACGTGTGCCATGGCATGTTGGGCAGCCGCAGTTGGTTCTTTGGAGCTGAGGGTTAGGTGCCGGGGGAGAAGTTATATAGCCAGGTATAGGGGAGGTCCCGGCACCAAGTACTTAAAGCTGTGGAAGTTTCTGAGGCTGCTCTGCCCGAGCGCAGATCAACCTGTTAGTATTCCAGCAGTGAGCAGGGGGTTGGACTTGATGGCCTTGTAGACCCCTTCCAACTTCACTTTTCTATGATGGTATGATCCTTGGATCATTTTTTTGCTGTCATTTTTGCAAAAATATGTGGAGAATATTTTTGCACAAATATTATGTGGAGAATGCAGGCTGCCTTTTAATTCTTGGACCCTTTCTTGGTTGCTAAGGTTAGCATACTTGGCTCACAGTGCTGACATAAATTGTATTCCTTCATCACTGCCACGGCTTCATAACAAAGAAGACATATCAGCTTGTTTCCTTTAAGCTTAAAATTCTATTCGTTTTCTCATCTGTCATTAAATTGCCTTCCGTCTGCATTTACTTTTCTTTTCTTGGACATTTTAGGAATATTTGATCGTAGTTTATATATCTGTAAAGTGACATAGGTCAGTGTATCCAAAGCTCCACCTACTGGGGTATTAACTGTCACAGTGCTGTGAAGGGCAGGTGCAGATGATGCAAGTCTGAAAAGAAGGGTCACACACTGCTTGTATCATCCGAAACCTAATTGGAGACTGGTGAGACAAAATACCATGGCAAAACCTTTCTTGTGGATGATATCAGCATTGTGCAACCCTCCTTTTCAACTGGCATAAAATTGCATTTTTCTTATAATACCAGGGAAGGTGTAGACAAGGGGGTACTGCAGCTCCACAGGATCTGTAGGTAGAGTTCTGTCCTCCTCTCTGCTCCCCACCATAATTAAATAGAGACCCCCCAAATTACCTGACACAGTGGTGTAGCAGATCACCCTCAAAAAATTAATTGGTAGAGTGCAACAGATGTCCATCCCAAAAATAATACAGTGGTGCCTCACAAGACAAAAGTAATTTGTTCCACGAGTAGCACTGTCTTGCAAAATTTTCATCTTGCGAAAAGCAGTTTCCCATAGGAATGAACTGCAATGCATTCCTATGAGAAACCTCGCAAGACAAATGAATTATTTTCATCTTGCAAGGCATCGGTCTTGAGGAAAAAAACCCATCTTGCGAAGCATGGCCATAGAAGCCGTCTTGTGAGTCACCAACATGATCACAAAAAACATTCATCTGGCGAGGCGTTCACCTTGCGAGGCACCACTGTAATTGATAGTGTGCAGCAGGTCTCTCCACAACCTATATTGATTGGAAGTGTGCAATGCATTCCTTGTACAGTCACAAGTTATTAGAGGCTAATTCAAGGTTACACCAGAATGCTACTCTCATCAATGTTATGACGCTTCTGATACACCAAGACTCTCACATGTTATAAGAGGTTATACCAGAATGCTGTATTTAAAATTTATAAGATCAACCTTCCCAAGCTGCCCCTGAGCTGGCTACTCCATGGGTTCAGTACTATGGGATGGCTGAGAGGTATGCAGTAAGTGTCAATAAGCAATACAATAAACATTTTTGGTAGGAGTGTGGGATAGAAGGGCTAAGGATGCACCACTGAAAGGCTGCAGTCCATGATTCAGCACAGAAAGGTTGCAGGTCAGAGTATGGCACAGAGGGGCGCTGGTTAAGGAGGGACAGCAGGGTGAGGGTGATGTATGGAAAGGCTGCTGGTGAGGATATGCCAGGAAAAGGCTGAAGGTCAGGGCATGCATGGAGGGAATGTGGGTCAGGACATGGCATGAATGGGCTGCGGTAAGGTTGAGACATGGAGGGGCTGCGATATGGCATGGAGGGGCAGACAGGTGAGGAACAAAGGGGCTGGGGGTCATGGTGTGGGAGAAATGGGCAGGTGTCAAGGTGTGACACAGAGGGGCTTCAAGTTACACTGTGGTGCAAATGGGATGGATAGTTGGAATAGGTAAAAAGTGCAGGGTGCATTATTTTTATATAGCTTCATAAGGGGCACACTTGGTTAACATTGGCTGTTTTTTACTGCGGTTCCCTGCGGGATTACCTTTTTCAACCTCAGAAAAAGATACTCACCCGCACTGCAGTTAAAAATTGTGGCACAGTAAAGCACAGCCCAGAGCACAGGCCCCGTTTGCCAGCCGCATGTCACTTGCGGCTGTGTAGGGCCAGTCACTGGGGAGTCTGCCATAGATGATCCACTTGCCAGGTGGAGAGCGGCCGGCCTGCAGGGCTGAATGCAAACAAGTGCTGGGTGCTGCTGTGCTGGTCGGACCGACCAGTGTGCACCCAGCGTAAGCATTAAATTATAATCTAGCTTTAGTGGTGGTGTGCTGCGGGTGGGGTTGGCAGATGTATTTTGGACCAGATGTATTTTGGACCAGAAGCAGAGGCTTTACTCAGTTCCCAGGTCTCTAATGTTGATGAGCCAGCTTCAGGATCGTGGACTACACCAAAATGGCCACCATGAGCACTCAAGATGTCTATCTGCTAATGTTGGTGATGGCCATTTTGTTGGTAAGTGAACCCAGTGCGCACAGTGCTGAGATAAATGTATACTGCCCCCTGCCCCTGCAACACCTCAAGGGCCACATGAGATGTCCCGGATTTGGCCTGTGGGCCTTGAGTTTGCCACATGTGGTTTAGCTTGTAGCTGACTAACAATTCCTAGCACCACCTCCTGCTCTGTGCTCTGCTGTCAAGCCAGTGTAACGGCCTTTTTGGCAGCATTGTCTGATCAAATTAGACTAGTGTTTCCTAAAGCCTTATCTGAAGAATTCTGACTGTACCTTAATTCTGACCTTGCTCTAGTCACATCCTGGCTTAAACACTGTAATTTGTTTTTCAGTGTGATGACTTATAAAACAGCAAGTTTGACGAGGTCAGACTGTGGCCACTTGAATTTGGGTGGTGCTGGGAAGCTGAGATGGTTTGATGCCACCTCTACTGGTGCAAAACAATCCTACAGCATAGGTATACTATTTGCATAGATGTGGGCATATTTCTGGGGGTAGAGTGCTTCTTTTAACCTTCAAAACTTAAAAGGCTTACTGCAGGTTAACTGACGGATGAGCCATCACCCCTATTATCTGAGATGATTTTCTGATAGCCAACTTATAAGACTGCCTAAAAGAATAATGACCTCCTGGATGCCCCACTCCCTTATCCAATGCTGTCTCACTTCATGTCTGCCATTGTAGGTATTCACTCAACTATTTTTTTATCTATAAATAGAGACAGGATTCTACCATGACAACTAAGTATTTCATACTGGCCGAGTTTAACTCTTTGATGGCATAGTTTCAATAGTTTTATTTTTCTGTTTTATACTTTATCCCAAAATGCAGCATATAAAATCTCTTAAATAAGCACTTACTACTGTAGCAAAGAGCAGCTTTTCCTTTGAAAAACAGACATGCTGGGACAGAATTGAACTCCCCTTCAGATTTGCACTCGCTTCTCTTTAAATCTTCTCCATACAATACTAGAAGACACACATGCCCAGCAACAACATACATTTTAACTCTCATTAAAGTCCTCACCGTTCCAGTGGTAGGCTTCCAGGCTTAGAACCATCATTCACCCAGCTGGTGCATTCTGGAAGCAATTACTGTACATGGAACAGTGAACCCTGCTGCCCCTTTCCTAAAGGCTCCTGCACGATTGACTCAGCAGCCAAAACTGACATTCTGATTAGCTGATCAACTTGCAATACACCCTAAATGGTATCAGTCTGCAGGAGTAAAATTCTCATAACTGTACGTACAGTAGTTTGGTATCCCGTCTCAACTAATTCCACTATAGACAGAAATTCTTGAAATTATCAGAACACACTTAAATTACTATACTTTATTACAAAACCCTTTTATTAAACAATTATTTACAATTCCTTAAACAATTACAAATCATGTTGATTATACTTCAAAGCATCTCTTAACATGTTCACATGATGAGGCTCAAAGCTCACCTGAGACTGCAGCAGATAAGCACAATTACAGTTCCTGGAATATATATACTTAAAAGCGACTCTGTAAAACTATAGAATGGCCAGAATCTTATAACTTTTTGTGTGAGTGGCCCCACTGCAGATGCAGTTTCCGAAACAAGTCAATGGCATGAGGGGGGGTCTCTTCCAATGGGGCCAGACCCAGCTTCTCTAATAGCAACTCAACAATTGTTTGAAAATGGCAGGGCACTACACCTGCAGAGTGTTATGCTCTGACATTATGAATAGGATTATCACCTCTTTCTCATTGGAAAATTAGAGCATCCCTGTTTATATGTTAAAATCTGAAAGGTGTCTGAAAGAAATTGATATCTAGTTGTTTAAAATGTAACACATGTGGTTGGAATTTGTAAACTTCCACAGTCTGAGGATTTTGTAGGGATTCAAATGCAAAGTTGGGTTTCTAGAAAACCATCCCCTGCACTGGGGTGTAGGAAGTAGTTTGTCAACAGTATTTTCTGTAGGTGAAGCCACAAAGACTATGGGAATTGGTTAAGTTTTTCTTATGATTCTGGTACAGATGGAAGGATGTTATAGCCATGATGCTAAAAAACCCTTTCATCCATCACAAGGATCCATCACAAGCATTGATGTTCAGAATCAAGTGTTTCTACTGCAAAGTTAATTTTGTGCAAAAAACAGGTGGGAGAAATCTGAGACATGTACAGTATTATAGAAAGATGATCCTTATTCTGAGAGACTGTTAGATGCACTAGCTGTGTCTTCCTGAGTAGGAAGAAGTACTTTCAAATCTTTCAGAAGCTCAATCTGAGTATCTAGTCTTTTCCTTTTATTGATTAGCTCTTGAATTTTTTCTTCTGTTCCTGTATAAATAAAATTGATGCTTAGTATTGCCAGCAAATGCAAGGGGGAGAGAGGTTTGTTTCTAAATGACTTTTAACAGAAATTGTCTAAATGCTACCCATGAGCAACCCACCGTAAAGAAAATCCATAAAAGTAATCGAAATAAAGATTGTGAAGGCAATGTAAGAGCGGTGACAGAAGCAGATATACTTCATAACGTTGGAGTGCCAAGTCAAAACTGGTGGTAGGGCACTTGCCATCTCATTTATTCACCACTCAGTCTCCCCACTAAAAATGCTCATCATATGCATATATATACTGGGCACATAGGCATGAGGTAATGCTGAAAGGATCCACATCTTTTGCAAGATCAACCTTATATTACATCAAAGAATACTGCCTGAACATCTTCACTTATGAATCCTTTAATACCAACAGTGGTGCTAAAAGAACTTGGTTTAATACGTACCAGAATGAATAGCTGTAAGTATATTTTCAAAGATGCCGCAGTCAAAAAGTGATATTACTGTTTCTTCATATTCTGAAAGTAAATGTTACTATTATCAACAATGCTACAAAAATACATTTAGTTTTTAATTTTACACATTTCCCTTCCTCCCAAAGAATGGGGAAATACACATAATCATTAAAAACTATTTTTAACACATAATACACATAAGCTAAAGTGATGTCTTGCCCTCTTGTAAAGTCAAGCCTATAACCTCCTTTAAAGAGTCCCTCTAGTTCATATTTGGTCTTCCTCTTTTCCTGCTGCCTTCAACCTTTCCCACTGTCTTTTCGTGCATCTTGCCTTCTCACAAGGCACTGAAAGTAGGAGAGCCTCGGTTTTGTCATTTTTGCCTCCAGAGAAGGTTTAGGATGGATTTGATCTAGGACTCGCTTGTTTGTCTTTCTGGCAGTCCAGAGTATCCTAAGATCTCCAGTATCACATTTCAAACAAATGAATTATTTTCCTGGCAGCTTTCTTAACTGTTCAGCTTTCACACCATTTCCATGGTGACTGGTGTGAATGATCTTGGCCCTGGCCTCCAGAGAGACAGCTTTGCACGTGTTTATGTTTTCTAATCTCTTCATTGCTGCCCTTCCTAGTCTCGGGCTACTTCTGATTTCTTGGAAGCAGTCTATTTGGATTGATGGTTGACCAAGGTATACAACATTTTTAACAATGTCAATGTCAGCATTAAAGTTGTGTAGTTCTTCAGTAGTCATGATTTTTGTCTTCTTAATTTTTTGTGGCCCTGCTTAGACACTTTCTTCTTTCACTTTCATCAGGAGTTATTGCAAGTCATTGCTGTTTTCTGCCATGTCATCTGTGGATCTTAAATTACTGATTGTGAAGGAGAGCAGCCTAGTCTATCTGTTTTCATCCTCCATTGAAAACAGATAGGAGACAACAGCTGGTTGCGCTGTGGGAGAACTGATTAAGTTAGAAGAAGGGGAGACTGGAAGAAATAAAGCGGTGGAGATATTTCTGGCAGAGACCAGACAGGCAAGGAGAGGAGCTAGAATTGATGAGATGGGATGAAGCTGTAAAAGAGGAAGGGAGAGAGATCAAGGAGATCAGTTTGTGTGCCCTTCTACAAGGGCAGACAAACTGAAGGAATAGAAGAGATATGGAACTATCGAACTAGTCCAAGAATTCCCGAACCTTAGAACCGGCGGAGGTCTATTGCCCGACCCCCCGAGCATCGTAGAGAAAGAGAAGATAAAGCCTAAAGTGGGATGGAGTATGATAGCAGTACCACGGTCCCAGGATATAGGGAAGAAGGTACCACCAATTACCTGCCATACATAGAGGGGAATTTGAAGCACACCTGTTGCGGGACAGTTTGTGCTGCCTTGAGCTTCCCAATGTGGCCTCAAACAGAACAAGGTCCGCTTGGGGTGATGAAGAGATGAATGAGAGGAAAAGTTCAAGTGTGTCACGTGTTAAAAGTTGTAAGTTATTACCAGAGTTGAGTTGTTTACATCCCTTTTATGCTGACAACCAAGAAGTGAAAAGGAATAAAGAAAATATGTTTAGACCGTTATTTTTGTCTCCATCGATTTTCCCACTGAAAAGATGGGATTGCCCCCCTTAGAGAAAGAACCCAATTACACTGATGTTTCTTCTACCATTTTTAACTCCTCATCCTGAATCAAGCCTAGCTCTTCATACGAAATATTCTGTGTACAGATTGAGCAGATAAGGGAATAAAATGTATCCGCATCTGACACTTATGCCTACAGCAAACCATCTGTCTCTTCATATTCTTTCCTAAGAGTAGCTGCTTATACATAAGACACACTGAGGCACTTGATTGTCCATATGCGTAACCTGTCCCTATGTTTGACTGTCCAAACATTTCTTTCAGAACAATCCACAGCTTCTCATGATCCACACAGTCAAAGGCTTTGCTATAGGTCTATAATGCATAGACTTAATTTTATTCTGAAATTCTTATTATGAAACTCTCCAACAGCCAGTTCCTTTTCTGTATCCAGCTTGAACATCAGGCATTTATTTCCATACAAGGGAAAAGTCTTTGTTGTAACACCTTGAATATCACCTTGCTTACATGGGAAATTAAAGCAATGGTCCTGTAGTTACTGTACTCCTTGGCATTTCCTCTCTTGGAGCGTGGAATGTGTATCAAACATTTCCAGTCTATGGACCATTGTTTTATTTCCCATATTTGTTGCCATATTCTTGTTAGGATTTAAACAGATTTAGCCTCTGTGGCTTGGAATAGTTGTACCAGTATTCCATCTACCACTGATAATTTTTTCCAGTGCTTTCAGAGCAGCTTTCACTTCCCTTCTAGAACTGTAGATTCTTATTATAGGAGTGTTCATCAAAGGAATCAGTCATACTTCCCCTCCCCCTTCTGTATAGGTCTTCTATGTCCTGTTTTCACCTTCTCTTTATTTTATCTTGGTCAGATAGTGTGATGCCTACTGGTCCTTCAGCATTTGTAAGTAAGCTTAAATTTCCCTTTGCTGTTCTTTAGTCTCTTAAAGATGATCCTTCCTGCCTTCCTCTCTCTCTCTTCCTTTCTATGTCTGTCTGTCTCTCTCTGTGTGTGTGTCTTTGCAGCCAAGAGGAGAATGTTAGGCTTAAAGGTTATGTTAATCAAATGATTGTCTTTACTTTTGTTTCTAGCAGATCTAATGAGAGTGATAGTTTACACAGAGCCTGAATGGTGTGGACAGCTGTAGAGTATAACCCTCCTTTTCAACCAACACAGCCCCAGTGAGAGAGCAGTTAGTAGATATGTGGAAGACTGATATCTGAGAATGACATCTTGAATGAGAACACAAGGCTGGTAACACCTTAACTGTTTTAGTGGCATTATGTGCTGCTTTTTTGTTGCCATCTTGTGCTGCACAAGCAGTGGGAAGCTTAACAGTAGCTCTATCAAGCCTATGGCTGATGCTAATACATGCCAGGCTTATTTATTTACTTAAAGAATCCAAACCTCCACCTCATCCAAAATGGCTCTTGTGTGTGTTCTGTGTCAAATTATAGTAACTCTAATAGGACTTTCAAGGTAAGTAGTGGTTTTATCAGTTCTTCATACACACACACCAAGTATCCATGGCCAAGTGGGGATTTGAATCCTAAATCCTAGCCCGGCATTTTATAGAGGAAATCACTCCTCAGGGTGATTTCCTCTATAGAAATTTATCATGTTCTCCATGGCAAGCATTTCACTAGTTTAGACTGTATCTAGTGCTAGGAATTTGAGAAGGGATGGGTACTGTACTGCCTCATTCCCCACTCCGTTGCTTAACAGCCTTCCTTCTTGAGGCGACAAAGGTGGTATTGAGCCAGATTCTCATGGGGCACTTTAAAACTTAGGCTAAAATTGATTTCAAATTATAGCAGGCCTCACACAAGCCTGCTATAACTTGCCAGACTTTAGATCTGGAGTTCTGAAATGGAGTGGGAAGAATGATCAATGGGGTGGAACAGACCATTTCTTGATTAGGTTGGAGTTTCAGGCTGCCTGAAACTGCAGCTGATGCAAAACTGAGCAGCCCTTAGAGCACCTAGCCTGTTGGCTCATATTAAATTCTGGTGCAACTGTGCTGACTGTTTGTGCATTTCTAAACTCAGTCCAAAGTGCTGTTTTAGATCCTAAAATCCTCCAAAGTCTTGGCTAAAATTAAGGCTGCTGAGCACTACTGAGAGGTGGTGCTCTGCAAAAACATCCTTTCATCAAGCGATATATGAAAAACCACATCTGCTGCTGTTTTTAAAGATAATTTTTACAAACTTTAAAAACTTGCTTTCAGTGGCACTTTTTACATATACAGTGGTGCTTCGCTTAACGAGCGCCCTGGTTAACGACAAAATCGCATAGCGATTAGGTTTTTGCGATCGCACTGCGATGCTTTAAATGGGAAAAAATCGCTTTGTGATGATTGGTAAGCTGTTTCGCTTACCGATCTTCGCATAGCGATGTTTTCCCAACAGCTGATTGGCAGTTCCAAAATAGCCGCTGGGTAAAAAACATGGCCGCCCGCTGTGTTTTGGGACGGATTCCTCACATACCAGGGAGCGAAAATGGCCGCCGTATGGAGGATTTTCTCTTAAAGGTGAGTTTTTTGCCCATAGGAACGCATTGAAGGGGTTTCAATGCATTCCTATGGGCTTTTAAATATCGCTTAGTGATGTTTTCGGTTAGCGGCAATTTTTGCTGCACCGATTAACATCGCTAAGCGAGGCACCACTGTATTGCTATGTTTGTTGTTTAGTCGTTGTGTCCAACTCTTCGTGACCCCATGGACCAGAGCATGCCAGGCCCGCCTGAGTTGGGACAAATTCATGTTGGTACCTTCGGTGACACTGTCCAACCATCTCATCCTCTGTCGTTCCCTTCTCTTCTTGCCTTCACACTGTCCCAGCATCAGGGTCTTTTCCAGGGAGTCTTCTCTCCCTGGTAGCTATATTGCTATAGCTACCAGTTTATTTTAATTCAGCTCTAACAATAGTAATTGTATGAGCCTGTCATTGTTCTACATTTGTATGTTTATGTTATAGTCTTCAAAGGCTACTAAGAAGTGTATTCAATAAAAATAATAAATACTCATCCAGATATAATAAGGGAATGTCACAGCCACAGGCATGAAACTAAAAGTGATACCAGCACTATTTCTCATAGATATTGTGAACAACTGATGGAGAGAAGAAATTGCACCAGAAACTTCTTTCATATGGGACATTACATATTGCCCAAAAATAATAATTGAATTATTAACTGTGCTCACGACCTGGGGTTCAAATCCCAGGTAGCCGGCTCAAGGTTGACTCAGCCTTCCATCCTTCTGAGGTCGGTAAAATGAGTACCCAGCTTGCTGCGGGGGGGCAATGTGTAGCCTGTATAATTAAAAATTGTAAACCGCCCGGAGAGTGCTTGTAGCACTATGGGGCGGTATATAAGTCCAATAAATAAATAAAATAAATAAATATGCATCCACACAATTCCTCCATGTAAATTATCTTTCTCTTAATCATTTATTTGACTAAATTACCAGAACACACTTAAACATCAAATAATTCATATTTGAACTACTTGTTTTGCTTTCACAGGATATTTCATGTAAAATATAAGAACCAAGAACAAGTATCTTCATCATAGAAGGGTGTGTGCCAAGTAAGTGTGAAGTCCAATGTAATCTATAAAGCTTCATATTGTTTTCTTGTTATTATACATGCTAAAACAAACAACAGATATGTGACTATGAAAATAATCATTCTGAAGCTGATTAAAGCAGCATGTTTGGGAGAAAACTTAATAATATCCTAAAAACCACTTGGGCAACAACTCATGCTGGAATTCTAGATTTGTGTATATCTTTGTGCTTTTTAATGCGATATATGGTTTTCCATTTTTTTCTTCTTACGCGTAATCCAATGTAATCCAAAGCATTTATTTTAAATTTGGCTGTGTAGCATACCTCTAAGAGAAAAATGCTGTTTTTCAGCATTTAGTTTAACAAAATCCATATGTGTTTACCATTTTAAACAATGATACACAATCTGCATAGGGCTAAAGTGGGAAATGAGATATAAATAAATATACTAGTCCTACCATGTGCCCTCCATTAACTCAACTCATGGATCATTTGCATTTCATAAAGCTTTTAGCACCCTACACACATAATAGAAGCACAACTTTTAAAATTGTGTTAAAATAATGTCAAAGTAGGTTTAGAAGTTTGTTTTATATAAAATGGATGAGAAAAAAAATACATTTCTATCTCCCTGGTGCAACTAGAGGATTCAGTCCCAGCTATAATTGTCTTTCTTAAATTGCTAGGGAGGGATTACAGGGTGCATAATAGTCTGCATACCCCGATTAGAAGAAAAGTTTAATGTAGCTAAACTTTGTACAACGCTCCTGCAGAGTTTCACTCTTACCAAGACATGTATGTGCACAATGCAGATTGTTTTAACTGGGAAACTTGTCAGGACAAGTATAGATTAAAAATACCAGTGGAAAAGAAAGAGCCTAAGGTCTCAAAGCCAGAAACCACATAAAAAAGCACACAGTATGCCTACCACTTAACAGTTCTGGGATGGAACATCTTTCTATATTGATCATCATAGAATTGTTGCAGGGTTGGGAGGTCTTGTAGTCCAAGGGAGGTCTTGTAGTCCAACCCCCTGCCCAAGGCAGGAGAGCTCATACCATCCCAGACAGATGGTTGTCCATTTTTTTCTTGAAAAGCTCCAGTGATGGGGCACCCACAACATCAGTGGAACAAGGTGTTCCACTGCTTAATGGTTCTCACTGTCAGGAAATTCCTCCTTCCAGGGAGGAAGCTCTGACAAGTTTCCACCTATTGGTTCTTTTCCTACCCTTGGTGCAATGAAGAATAAATTGATGCCCTCTTCCCTCTGGCAACCCTTCAGATATTGCAAGACTGCTATCATGTTTCCCCTCAGTCTTCTCTTCGTTAAACTAAACATACCTAGTTCTTTTAGTCTTTCTTCATAGGATTTGGCCTCCAGTCCTCTTAAAAAGCGTCCTGCTTCAAGCACTCTCTGGGCGGTTTACAAGTTAATTATGCAGGCTACACATTGCCCCCCCCAAGCAAGCTGGGTACTCATTTTACCGACCTCGGAAAGATAGAAGGCTGAGTCAACCTTGAGTCGGCTACGTGGGATTGAACCCCAGGACGTGAGCACAGTTTTGGCTGCAGTACAGCGGTTTAACCACTGCGCCACGAGGCTTCACCCTTGTTGCTCTTCTCTGCATCCCTTCCAGGCCCTCAACATCTTTTTGTATTGTGGTGACCAGTACTGCACACAGCCCTCCAAGTACGGCCTCACTAGCGTGGCATAGAGTGGTACTATCACTTTCCGTGATCTTGATGCTATCCCCCTGTCGATGCAGCTTAGGATTGTGTTGGCTTTCTTGGCAGCTGGAGAACGAAATCCCTCTCACAGGTACTACTGTCGAGCCAGGTACCACCTATCCTGTACCTGTGCATCTGGTTTCTTCTGCCTAAGTGCAGGACCTTACTTTTCCTACCACTGAACTGCATCAGATAGGGCTCAATGTTCAAGTCTGTCTATCTTCCAAAGTATTAGCAATTCTGGTTGTTGTGGGTTTTTTGGGCTCATTGGCCATGTTCTGAAGGTTGTTCTTCCTAATGTTTCGGCAGTCTCTGTGGCTGGCATCTTCAGAGGACAGCACTATTAGCAATTCTCCCAGCTTTGCGTCATCAGGAAATTTGATGAGTGCTCCTTCAATCCCCTCATCCAGGTCATTTACGAAGATGTTGAAGAAGACTTGGCCCAAGACAGAACCCTGTTTGCCTGAGATCGAGGGAGACTTGATAAGACTCAGTTGGTGAGTCTTATCAAGTCTCTTTGTGCTGACTTCATTTTCTAAGCGGAAATCACTGCCTTAGCCCCCAAGAATCCAGGATTCAGCCACAAAATCCTGCTAGCCTGTGAATTCCTGTTCACCTGGGTTTCCGGCCAGGATCTTTTTTAATCTATTCTCTCTTTTGATCCTTGCCCCCAAAATTCCCTCATATCATTCCAACACTCCCCAGCTTCAAGATAGTCTAATAAGACTCAGGAGAGGTAGTCTGTGTCACTCCTAATCTATTTCTGGGAGAATTTCCCCCACATATTGGTGGGTCCCCAATTTATTCCTCCTTCCTCTCTTACTCTCTGTGCATGTGTTTGTGTATCATGCATATGCGTGTGGCTAAGGAAAAGATATTTCCTTTACTTTCTCTTCCTAGCCTTGTAGTACCTCTGCAAATAGTCTGTTCAGGTAGTACAGATCTTTGCAATGCAGTCAGAATCTCAGAACCCTCATAACCATGCGAGTTTGCTTCTTTTGAAAAAAAAATTCCCCACATTCATTATATATTCTATTGTATAACCTTTGCTATTTCCCAATATAATCATTGTATATTATTTTAATTCTGGTTGTTCAATAAAGTTCCCTTTAAGAATAGCTCAGTGTGAGTGTGTTATACTCAGCCCTGTCATCTCTATCATGATGCAATATCATCATAACTAAAAAATCACTTACGGACTTTTCACTAAATAAGTGAGTTCATGCATATGCCTGAGAGCATACCTTGGTAATACAGGGTCCAAAAGCTTAAAGCAGCAATGGACCTGCACAGATGTCAACTTCAAACTCTGTGCAGTACCTGCTTCAGAGGTATTGTCATCCATCAGCTTTTCTTGTGCCAGATGAAGAGTGTCTAGCATTTCTTCAAAGATTTCATCAAGAAGTCCAGCCTGTTTACACTTCCTTACAAAATCTGTTCTTACTAGAGGGGAGGGGGAGAGGGAAGGAGAAGGAGAGAGAAATGCATTCTTACTGAAACAGTTTTCTAGGTCAACATGATACTGTGAAATTCTCTTTAATAACAGTGACATTTCTTTCCAAGGAACGTAATCAGAAGCCCAATGTCAAGGAAGAGAGACTCTAAATAAGCAGTGTCTCCATGAAGACCTTTTGTTGTTGTTTCTAACTAAAGTAACGTATCTAACAGATAGCCAGTGATAATCATGTGCCAGGCTAAATTTCCATTTCTTTAGATTGCTTCATGGCTACTGAATGATGAATGTGAGTGAAAGCAGCATGGGCCACACTATCTAAGTAAAAAAAAAGATTGCAAAGAACCTGATAGCATCCTCTGGGAAAAAAAGCTAAAGGCCACTGTGGGGACAGAACACTGGATGAGAAAGTCCATTTGATTAATCAATGATGGCTTGTCATGATCTCATTAAAACTAGCTTCCCTGATGGTCTATTGGTTAGGATTTTGCACTCTCATTGCCGCAGTCCTGGTTCAATTCCTGGTCAAGGAAAGGTAGTTTTGAAGTGCTGGACAGCTCAGTGGCTTAGGTCTCTGGCTGTGGAGCCAGAGGTTGGGAGTTCAATTCCCTGCTTGTGTCTCCTTGAGAGGGGCTGGACCTGATAATCCATGGGTCCCTTCCAGCTCTGCAGATCAAAGGTTATGGTTATTAATATTATTCAGAAACACCAGGCACAGTCAATCAAAATTATAAAAACATTGACTGATATTATATAACAGATACAAGTTTGAACCAAAACGAGATTGATTTTATAATATTGACATTTTAAAACTCTATTCCATCTAGTTTTTGGATCTTGCCATGGTGTATAGACAGAGCTGCACATTTGTCAATTCCAAATTTCATTTGGATATGTTTACTAAATGTGTTTAGCAGTGATTCTATCTCTATGGAACTTTTTGCATATAGTTTTAGGTAGTCCGTGTATAACAGATGATTGATTTTTCCTGCTTGTTCTGAAATATGGTAGCCCAAAATGATAGGCAATGATTCTGCTGTGTTTAGCAAGGAATTTTTTTCCTAGTTATGCTGGTGGCTGAACTGGCAACAAGCCTTCCACAAGAGTTGCAGAGTTGGAATGGTTTTCCAGTCCAGTCTCCTGCTGAAGCATGGAATCACATCTAATATGTCCCAGATAGATGACCATGCATACCCAATGAAGCCTCCAATGAAGCTTCCAATGAAGGTTTGGTCCATCAGCTTCTAATGTCCTTTTCACTGTTTAACAGCTCTTACCTGCAGGAAGTACTTACTAGATTTTAATCAAAATCTGCTTTTCCTCTCCCAATTCCCTACTTTTTAATTTAGATAATTTATTGCTATTATGTGGGGGTATTTTTTTCTTTTATCTATATGTACGCTTCAGGTTTTTTAAAATAATTCAAACACAATTTTAAAAAGGAATTTACAAAAATAAAAATTCTGGGTCTCAATGTGGTATGGATGTTTTTAGAGAGGGAAAGATTTAAGTTCCATCTAAACATGAATTTGCACAGTTGTTTATTTCTCAGGAGTGGAGATGTAATAAATGTTTTGCATTTCAATTTGATATGCTCAAATTAAAACGGGAAATATCTCCATATTATTCATTGGTGGAACTCAAACAAAGGAGATTATAACTACAGCCATCTTTCTGATCTGAACAAGCTACAGTCATACATAATAAAGTCATACCTTTATGTCGGTCCTGTTTTTCCCTGAGGACTTTTAAGTTTCCTTCTGAAATGTTGTCTTTTTTACTCTGTCAATATATATTAAAAAATGACAGAATTATCACCATTGTTCAGTATTCTAATAGTAATGATAATATTTTCCAAATATAACCACTCGACCGTATTTGCCGGCGTACAAGACAACTTTTTTGGCCCAAAAAACATGCCTCCAAGTGGGGGGGCCGTGTTGGACTTCATTTTGGCCAGGAAGGAGCGGCCGCCGAGTGAGTGACGTGGGGCCGCGCTGGCCGGAGAGGAAGGCGGGCAGGCAGGCAGGCAGTCGGTCCGGACGGAGGGAAGCAGAGCCGGCCATGCCTGAGTGGCCAGAGCCCGCTGCCCCGCGCTGCTGAGCCCGCTCACCACTGGAGAGCTGCTTGTCCTTCCCCTCCTCCTCCGCCACCGCCCGCTTCCCTTTCCTTCTCGCCCTCGCAGCTGAGCCAGCTTGCCCGCTCGCCCTCGCGCCACCAGAGAGCTGCTTCTCCTTCCCTCCTCCTCCGTCCACTCGCTTCCCTTTCCTTCTCGCCCTCCTCGTCGCCGGACATGAACTTCTAGGCAAAGCCCTGGGCAGCCGCAGCAGAGCCCTCCACTCTATATTTTGAGTGGAAATGTTGGGGGGTCGTCTAATACCCCCAATCGGCAAATACGGTATTTGTTTGCTTATTATATCACATCCTGGGTACATCAGAGTACCCCTCACTTCTCCATTTTATCCTCTTATGAGGTAGATTAAATGAAGGACTGAAATGATGATGACTCGGCAAGCTTCATGTGACCAAATCATCCAGCAAACTTCATAACTAAGTGGGAATTTGGCCCTTCCAAATGTTTTAAGAGAATATCTAAATTACCAAGAAACTGGTAATTTCCCACCCTCACTACAAGATAAGATGTTTTGTTATAAAATACTATATGAAGAGGTAACATGACATGGACTGACTCAATTAAGGAAGCAGAAATCTTTAGTTTGCAAGATATAAACAGGGCTGTTAAAGACAGGCTCACCCGGAAATCAGTAATTCATAGTGAATATAAATTGGAAGTAACTTGGCAACACATATCTTGGATTGAAAATCACCTTTCCTCAGATGGAAGTTTCTATCATTGCAAAAGACTGTGATGGCTGAAGATGGCTCCCCTCTGACTGGGGGAGGGGGGGAGAATTCCCCCTTACATGCATACTATTAAACAGTGACTCCCAACCCTCCTCTGTGTAGCACTTAGGAAAGCAGGGAAATCTACTTCTGCCTGCTGAGCTGCATGGACCAAAGCCTGGGTCTAACCCCATGGAAGCCACTGTGCTTATGCACTTCACTCATGCAAGCAGTATCACTTTTGGAGGCAAATTATGGGCCATTAGTTCCAAAGATTTAGTACTTGTATATTGGTAGCAGTATACAAAATGTTATGTAGCAAGAGTGGTAGTTTTTAATCAGAAAGTAATACAGACCTATCATTTTAGATATGTTAAGAACTTAAATTTAGAATTCTGCTTTACAAAGCAATTTGACATATGAGGCCATATAGGCCAAATGCTATGAAGAAAAGGTAAAGGTAAAGGTTCCCCTTGACAATTTTTGTCCAGTCGTGTTCGACTCTAGGGGGCGGTGCTCATCCCCGTTTCCAAGCCATAGAGCCAGCGTTTTGTCCGAAGACAATCTTCCGTGGTCACATGGCCAGTGCGACTTAGACACGGAACGCTGTTACCTTCCCACCGAGGTGGTCCCTATTTATGATCTTTGGAGGATTTTTAAATGATTTTCCTTGAAGTCTTAGACAATGAACAGGCAGTAATTGTTTATCTCTCCATTACCATTTTGTTTCTAGCAGAGGAAGGTTTCATTAGGATTTGGGGCTTGCTTCTCTTATTGTCTTCATCTAGAAATCAAAGTCAACAGATTGAATATAATCAATGTACTTTATCATAAAATTTCTTACAGTATTTCAATAAGTATGTGTATCCACACTAAAGAAGCAGACAAGAAAACCACCAGCTTTATAATATTTTGGGAAAGCTTAATCACATCAATATAAATTTAAATTTATTACAATTTATGTAATATATAATAAAAATTGATGTACAGTGGTGCCTCGCACAACGATTGCTTCATACAATGATGAATTCACACAGCGATGGGTTTTTTTGAGGAATTTCCCCCATCGTTTAACGATGTTCTCTATGGGGGAATTTCACTTAACGATGTCCCTTTTTGCTCATTTAAAAGTGTCTTAAAATGATTGAAACCTGTTTTAAATGCTTGGATTCCATAGTGCACCTTGTGAAACATGTGCAAACTTAATTTGGTTTTGTTCTGAGTCTTCATTAGTTTTTGGTGATTTTTTTATTTTCCCCATTTAAATCAATTGAATGGACAGTTCAATGCATTTAAATAGGGAAAACAAAAAATCACCAAAAATTAA